TAGATTATATAGACACCTCTTGGAAGGTCCTGGAACGATGTTCGTCCTTCAAACCTGCCAAACCAACGGAGGGGAGGATCTGGGCAGCTGGAGGAGGTCAACTTGAGGTCGACCGGGGAAAAACATAAACATCCGAACATCTGAAAACAAAACCACCTCCAAAAATTGAAAAAAAAAAGACAGGGATGAGTGCCCAATTGTCTACAGTGCTTGGGGCATCTCAGGCGGTGTAGCAGACAACTGAAGAAACTCCTATACCAGGGCCCTCCAACAGGTCTCCTGTGGTAGCTCTTGGTAGCACCTAAAAGTCGCAGGTGTTGACCTGTTGGAGGGTGCTGGTACATGTAATCTATTGTACCATTGTATATCAATGGTCGCGTCGGAGATCTGTGCGGCGTCCTCCTTTTCGCCGTCCTTTCGGCACTCGACCTTCGTTTTGGCCCAGAGTCCGCAACTCTCGGAAGGCCGAGGGCCTTGGGCCCTGCGACGAGTCAAGAACGAAGCGAGCGTTGGTCAAAGCAAGTGAACACCTGCAAAAATGATCAATAATGGAGCAACATAATTTTTAGAAAAAGACACATCTATGCATGACATGGAATAGGAGGCCAAGGATATCCAAGGATGGCTAATGAATTGTATCTGAAAACTGTTAGGTCGTTCGAAACTGCTCCAGCTGGGTCATGGCACGATCGATCGAAGGCTGAGGTCTTGCGATGAGGTCATGACAAGAGCTGTTGAAGAGCTGCTTCCCCAAAAGAGCCGTTGGACGGACGTGCAGCAGGTCAATGACATGTCGGAATTCCGTCTGTAAGATATTTAAGTCTACCCCCCATCTGGAGAGGTGTTGCAATCCAATACGGGGTGATGATGTTTTATGAATCAAGAGTCTACGTGATTTGGTTCCCGAATTCGCCTGCGCAAAGTTGGCGATGTTGAGCAGTAGAGCTGTGACCGCCTAAGATCGGGTTGGATGAATCAGGCAAAAGATCCTGTTTTAATGATGCTGCCCAAAGAGGCTACACACTTAGAATAATAGGAACCTTCTGTTGTGAAGGCTCTGGAATGTGTTTTGAAGTTCTTTCTCTCCCCAGACTGGGAGGGCTCTCTAACGAGTCTACGAGTCTCCCCCACACATCAAGGCTAGTCCGCCCCCCCCACGTGACTGCAGAAGCAGTACGCAGAAGAACCAAGGCGTGACTTTAGAGAAGCCGTGCACAGTTGGGTCAAAAAAGAAAACTCTCTGGTCAGTGACAGGCATTCTTTACTTACCAAGAACCTGCCAGGCTCTGACGCTCTTAAGTCATTCACCATGACAATGGTATGGTGAATGGTATGGTGTCTGTCTTTAGGTTTAACTACAGGGTGTATCAATCCCAGGTGTATTCAGAACATATGTATATACATTAGCATGCGTATTGTTCAATGTCAGATACCAAATGACAAGGCGCGAAGACATTATCCATGTGATGCCATCGGCCATGGTTGAAGCCTGCAAAAGGAAGAAAAAGAAGCCTGCTCAAGTCCATGTCAAAAAAGGTCTAGGATGGCCTAGGGTTGAACTTCAACCCCCAAAAAGAAAAAAAAAAAAGTCGGTGAACGGTCCGGTCCCACCTAAGAATTTGACTTGTAAACTTTCGCACACATGGTAGAGGCTGGAGGTCACCATGGTGAAAAAGCCTCAGTGAAGGGAGATGTGAGCGGTGAGCCGTCACACGCCGGGGTCCGTCACGCCAGCCGACCCAAAGAAACAAGAGGACCTGTGTTTGCTGGTTTCAGAGTAGATGGCACCCCAAGATGTCTTAAATAGATGCGGGTTCATACCAAACCACCGACATTGTGACAGTGACATTGGGGTCCCAGGGCCAATTTACTCTTAATCCATCTCAATCCCAAAAACGCTCCCAAGGAAAACTATGGAAGTGGAAAGCCACCTGTTTGGAATTCGGATTTCATGGTCATCCGACATCAGAAACCGGGGTCATGTTCCATCTCCATGCATGATGGTTTCAGGGAGTGCATACATTGATCTTGCATTACAACCTACATCAATCTATATTCCATATATGCCTACATTGAATGGATAAATGATAGGCCAATAGGCCAGTCCCATGGCTGCTCTGGGATTACAAGCTATAGAAAAACATAGGAAAACCTATATCATGATGTTACCAGTTATGGCGAGACCGGCCTCGGACGACTGTGGCATCGGCTCGCTCCGACGGAAAGCTCGGAGGAAACAGCGAAAAGCTCGGCTCGGGAGCCCAGCGGCATCAGTCACCCAGTCCTGTCCTTCTGGGCAGGTGGTTTCAACTCACTTGAGAAAAATATCGAAAACATATGAAAAAAATATACAGTTCTTTCTTGGGGAGGTAAAAAAAGAAGAAAAGGTTGCACATGCGGCACACATGTGGTCCCTGAAACCACCCAGTCCAAACCCTGGACAGTCCAGTCCGGATTCTGGAAAACATAAACGTGCAGGGGTTCTCAATGTGATTCGCATCTTGAACTTCTGCCGCCATTACAGCACCAGCAGCACCAACAAACTGTTGCTCTAGGACCAATTCAGCAAAGAATGTTGCCTCTGTCAGAACATGTCAGAACCATCTGTACAGTGACCCTGAACTTCTGAGAGGCACTGAGATCCCACTGAGCAAGACCGGCGCAAAACCCCTCCTCCCTTACTTCATATAAGGAGCCAATAATGCATTCGTAGTGCATGCCCTCCTGACATTCATGAATCGACATTGACAGCATTTGACAGCATAGGGGAGTGGAATGCTTCACACCAAAGGTCCAGCTCCTCAAACAGAACCCGAACAGTGGCTGTCCGCATGCCGCAGAGGCATGGGCACCAAAGTATGCCTCCTAGGATCTCCTAGATGTTTTTGGCGCCAACCGGCGTAAAAAGGCTCGGGGATGCAGCCTGGTACGTCAGCACAAAGACGGGCACAAAGGCCAAGTTGGTGCCCCCCGTCCAGATCGCCTGCCGAGGAAAGGGAAGAAAAAGACCCTGGTGGCACCGAGGGACAATACAACGTGGAAAAAAGTCCCTGGTGAGAGTCCTGACTTGGCACATTTCATTTCATTTCATGTGCGCGCAGAGCAATCAAGCGCAGCGCCTTTGCTGTGCATTCTTAATTAATTACTCAAAAATCAAACAATCTTTGTTTGGCGGCTGATCGTTTTGTGGCGGGGTTCGTTGGTCTGGTCCTGCAAAGGCGCTGGGATGAAGAGAGAAGTGTGTCTGTGTGTGTGTATGTCAAATCTTGGTCCTTTGGGGAAAAATCAAGCATATACTATCCATCATATTACAAACCCATGGTGCAAGTAGCGCAAGTTCGGTCTCGGTTTCGGTCTCCGCTTCACCGCTTCTACTCGCCGCACGTCCGGACGACACCAGGCGTATGGAAAGCGATGTCAAGTGTGATGCGATGACATGTTGCGTGATGGGGTGTCCAAATGCTTACGGTTATAACGACCGGGAGCCGTGGCTTCTGCGTGCTTCTGCGTTGCAAACAGGTCGAGCATTGTCTTTGCTTGCTGCTGCGGTCTCTGCTGATGTCTTGTTTTTGCTGGTGGTGGTGGTGGTGGTGGTGGTGGTGGTGGTGGTGGTGGTGGTGGTGGTGGTGGTGGTCGTCGTCGTCGTCGTCGTCGTCGTCGTCGTCCTCGTAGTTGTGGTTCTTGCTAAACTTGACCACGTTCGTTGCGATTGACTGAATTATATATGTTTTGGATTGTGTTGGCTTTTGTACGGAGCGGGGTGCTTCTCGAAGAACTGAAGCCCTTTTCCCCCTCCCCCCACCAGCGATGATACAGTACTTCGAATCTTGACCCTGCGGGATGAATTGTTGCAGAGCTGATCAGTTCGACTAAACACTCCAAAAAATGTCGAAGGATTCTGTAAGAAACTCCTACAACAAAACACCGACAGGAAACTCCACAACACTGTGTACAGGCACCTGTAGCATCTGTTCGTCTGCTGTTGTCGCAGCCATGGCGCATTCCAAACAAAGCCGGCACGGTTTGCTTGATTCGTCTTCAGCTTTTCCGGGTCAGCTGGTTTGGGTTTATGAGGGGTTGTGTTGAAAGTGACATGAAGAAGTTAAAAACTGCAGGCAGCTTATCAACAGAATTAAACAGCCACTGATTCACTGATGCAGGACTTCACGGTATAATCACCATCTGCTAACAAACTCAGTATGGCTGGCTAAGGCCCAGCCGCCCGGGCGCTTTCTCATGAATGAAACCCCCTGCAGCCCACATGACGTCACATGACCGTGTCCGTGTCGGGCAACCTATATCATCTATATCTGACATAACTGACATAACTATTCATAAATTACATAAACCATATACATCATTATACATCATCATCCATCAACTACTTCGGGCGCATCCGACAAAATCCGAACGCCCCATCGCTGCCACATCGGAACCTGTCCACCGAACGCACGTCCGCGGCCGCGCGGCCGCGTCGCTGCGTTCGTCGCGGCGTTCGGCGCGGCGCACCGCAGCAGCGCTGGGGTCGTCCGTGGCTCAGCAGCAAAGTCGTCCGACGGATATCCTTCGCTCAAACACAGGACTCGGCCCAAACGGCTCACAGCTGAGGCCGAGAGAGGCGGCGGACGTGGGGAATCAAGAAGAGAAGGGGGGCCTAAACGGATGGAGTGCTGAAAGCCGATTTCGGACGGGAAGATGGAGGCTGTGATTCAAGAACAACGGCTTTTTATAGATGGCTTTAGGTAAGCAAACCGTCATAAACAGAAGTCTGTAGTTGAAGAGTTTCTGATGTGGCTACGAGGGGTCGGACACGACTGTGTTGATCAGTTGACACACCTTAAATGAACCAAAGCCTGTGGACACGGGTCTGTCACTTCGGTCTTTTGGGCAAGGTCTGTCACTTCGGTCATGCTTAACATCGCAGTGAGCAGGTTGGATACTACGCAAGGTCTAGGTCTGGTGTCCCGCCACACCGTCCGCAGCAGCGCGTTCCCGGTTTTGCAGCCAAGAGATGGCACAATATGGCGCTCACGTCCCGCCCATTTTGAACGGACAGGCACGAGCTAATTGCTCAAGAGTCAGCCAGCATGTCAAGAGCCTTCTTCAAAGACCTGAATCAGATGGGTTTGCACAGCGCGATTAATTCCAGCGCTGTGCGTTCTACCAGGTGCTCCTCTGTATTCAGAATGCCACCAGAAGGAAGCTCTTGGTTTGCTTGTGCACAGTAGCACCCATGTTTGTTAAAGGTGACACAGTAGCCTAAGGTTCAATTTTAAGGTTTCGTTTAATTAGTTATGTTAACTATATAGGCTTCATGCGACGAGGGCGCCACGGGTCAGTTCGGTGTGACCGGGGTGGTCAGACTTGCGAAAGGCACGAGTCTTGGTGGCTTTCCCCATGTTCCCCATGGAAAGAACATCACCATGCCATTCAAGTGGTCAACTGAAGTGGGGAAATTCTTCAAACTTGCGGTTACCCTCAAGATCCCTCAAGCACCACAACGAAACAACACAGGTGTTGATGAAACACCTCTGAAACTGAGGTTGTTGCTCGATATTCTCCTCACGCCGCTCCTCCTCTGCCTGAAGAAGTGTTTGGAGGACTGGACGACCACAAAAGGAGACGAAGGGGACTGCGGAAGAACTTGATCTCACTAGCGCTCGGCACAATTTCTTCATCCTCTTCAACCAAGAACGTCTTCGATCTGTTCGAAAGTGGACTGATGCACTGTTGTTTGAAGTGCACCGCTTTTGGGGGACTGCCGATGCCTCACCGTCACCATGTGTCCGACAGGGGGCGCCTTTTGGGACGTGAGACACTCCTTTTGCAGCACTTCCCACACCTTCAATGCTGCAGCCAACTCCTGCCAGGACAGTGGATAGGACTCGACGACTGGAGACTCTCCGTGGAGGATCAGGCAAGACTGTCTATCCGAAGTTGTAACAAGTCGTTCGATCTGACTTGATCGAATCCAGCAAAGCTCAAGGCGGGTAGGATTCAATCACAAAGCAACACCGATAAGCTAAAGCTAATTGAACTCAGGTTGCCTGAGGCTAGGCCACCTTTCGTGAAAGTATAGTATAATATTATATGGTACGTATGATTGGGAATGATCCAGTATGTACTGTACATGCAATCCAATGTGCCCAACACTTCCCAACAGATCATGCCCTACACTAGAATGGCAGGGGCCAAGTGTGTGATACAGCATTCGCTTGGGCGGCCGTTTCCTCTCCAACTGCCCAGTCCTCTAACTTCCGCACAGGGATTATTGATCTATGATGGTTGAAGGCTGATGTGCTGTCGATTGAGAGGGAACCTCCACCCACACAAGAGAGATCATGGATCCACTGACTAGTCATGGATCCACTGTTTTTTGCTAGAACAAGCTATTCTGAGAGGAACCTGGCAAGGCGCTCTCTCATCCGACTACAGCAATCAGACCCAAAACCTCACCCCACTCCGCACAAACTTCTGGACACTCCGTGCCTCTTGAACTTCGAGAAGTTCATTGCTCTTCTCCTGAAGTTGAAGGACCCCAAGCCCCAAGCCCCGCACGGCGCGTCAGACTTCACGGGTTTCAGACACTCCAGAGTGGATCTAAAGATCTAAACCCAGACCATCCATGGGATTGGGGCCTCTTTACCTACATTGGTTTCAGGGGTCAATGTATATAGGCATATCTTCACATGGATGCTTTTGGTCAGAACATCCGCCTGAATGCGTTCATTCTGAATGCGTTTTCGTCTCCTGGATTTCTGCCGTCTGCTCAGCGGAGGTTTCCTTGGCAGACAGGGTCTCACCGGACTGGACGGACTGGTCTCACCTTCGGACGAAATCGGTCCGTTTGGGGGAGTGTCATTGTCATAGTGATGGTGGAAGCCATGTCCATGCAGGTCTCATTCAGCCATGGCCACAGTTCATGATTCACGCATGAGGCCCAATCAGCAGCCACCCCACTGTGGAGTTTTGAGGAAGGTTCCAATTCAGATGTGACCAAAGAGCCTTTGATTTCAAGGATGGTTCTGACCCAGCAAAAGCACCTTCTTGTGCTTCACGTCCAGCTCCATCTGCTTCTTGTTCAACTGGCGATGGCAGTTCAAATTCTGTTCGTGTGTAGCTTCGAAGAGCACCCTGCCCACGGAGCCCCAAGAAACATGGCAGAGATGCCCTAGACTCCTTCAAGAAGTTCTCGTACTCAGTTTGACCAGCTTCCTTCAGGCTGCTCTCGAAGCTGTTTGAAACCAAGAGCTAAAAGAGCGCGAAGAGCGGGGACTGAAAGCACGTAAACTCAATTCAAGGGTGGTCTCTTTCCCTCATTGGTCACCCCAAAAAGGCTCTCTTTGAGGTCAATCCCTCATCTGGACAAAATCATGTTGCTTTTCTTGCCCAGTCCACTAAATCAATTCTCAGGAACCACCATGGAATATCCTTCCTCTAGAATCCACATCATCTCCCCCCAACAACAAGAAACGAGCTATCCACCGTGCAGGGTCCGGACCATTTGCCCCTCCCTCTTGGTCCGAACACCGAGCCCTCCAGTCTCCGGTCTCCTCTTCCGAGGAGGTCTCCGCTTCCAAGCGCGCGAAGTCCGCGGCGATGACCTCCCCGGCGAAGTCCGCCGGTGCGCGGCGCGCGGTTCAGTCGGGAAGGAGAGAGAAGGGGAGTTCGTTTGAGAGTTCCTTGCGCCCGGTGAAGGATGGCGGAGCCCATTTTTTTTCTGGATCATCATAAGCACGAAGGATGGCGGAGCCCATTTTTTTTCTGGATCATGTGTTTTTTTAAATATACATATACATGTTTGTTGGGTTATCCAAGGTCCACAGGGAAAGGATCTAGAAAGACCTGATCCAAAAGCCATCCGCCTTCAACAGCGGAACGGTGCACCGTTCCACCCCTTTCCCGCCCCTCCTCCAAGAGCCGCGAGCCCGGTCGCAGGCGGAGTCCGCCAATGGAGAAAGAACGGCACGAAAAGCAGCCTCCAAGAGACCAAGAACTCCTCCGCTCTGTCCACCCATGCCCTGATAGGGCCTCGACTCGACTCGGGGGCTTGGGGCAGAGGCTCTATAGATAAGGCGTTTCTCTAGATGATTGGTGGCATGGGCAATGAAAAGAGGAGAGATGCTAATTCCAGGTGACTCATGTGCTTTGCTCTTTTGGGGCAACTCTTGAGACAGGATCCAATCACCAAACAAAGACATCCGGCCATCGCCAACGACCTGTGGCCTCAGCCTGTTAAGACATCCGTTTGGACTCCACGGACCGGGTGAGCCGGCGCATCAAAAATGGCCGGCTGGTCCGACCTGGACGGAGCTGCACGGAGCCGGAGCTGAACGGCAGCAACGAGCTGGTCCAAGCAGTGCAGATGAGCTGCTTTTTGGGGGCAAAACATCGTCAAACGGTCTGACATGATCAAATGATGTCGCGCATACCAGGAGTTCGGATATGATATACTCCAGGTACTAATTTGTATTAAACCGTACAAATTACAATGTGTATTCTGATCAATATAGGTCACTGAAAAATAATGAACAAAAAACTAAAAGACACCACAAGTTCATCATCAGTTATATGTGTATTTCTGTGGCTGGGCGGTTCGGCACTTGAGCCGCAGAAGTTTGCACCAACGCGGTCGCCTGAGAGCTGGAAAACGCTCGCGGTCGCCTTCGGTGACAAATCAGAATCCGTCGGATGTGATTCACAAAAGCCTTTAGCCACTTTAGCCATCTGTCAGGATTTGGTGCAAATTGAGCTGACACAGACTGAGAAGGCCTGGCCAGCCTTCTCGTAGAACTCCTGCAACCCAAGTTGACCAAACAGGTGAGCTAACAGAGCTAACAAGGTCTGCCACCATACCTACAGTAACTGGACCATACTGGACCCATTCTTTTCAACAGAAAACGTGCAAGGCTTCGCCCATTTCCACCAAGACAGCCGGCAGCGTTGCGTCAGAACACACTCTTCTCTCGTCCTATGCTGCCTCTTCTTTACTCAATCAATCATCCGATGAATCGGAATCTTCACTCCTCTCAGGCTCCTCCATTCCGCCATTATATTGAAGGCCTCGGTAGAAGCTCACATTGACGTCCCCCATCTCACCAAGGTGGCGGCAAATCTGCAGAGTGCTGCGAAGGATGTCTGTATTCTCTCCGGCGGGCTTCGCAATTGGCAGTTGAATCTCGAGCTTGGTGAGTCTGGGACATCTTACCGCCACCTTGAAAGCCAAATCCTGTCTGGTGCCACTGAACACTCGACTAAGCTGATCTTCCTTGACCTCGCGTGACTCATGGATCTCGAGAACCTCAAGATGTCGGCAAAGCGAAATGGCTGAAAGCAGGGTTTTCACGTCAAGGCCAAAGCCCTTCACATAGAGCTTCTTGAGGGTCCTGCGATTCTGCTGCACCACTTGGGGCAAGAGAGCCTTGATCGAAGGCTCCTTGGAGTCCATGAGAAGCTGATTCAAGCGTAGCTCTTTGAGATGATGAAAGCCACGCAGCGTCTCTAGAACTTGCAACTCCTCCCCAGATGGGACGCTCAAACGACCCAAAGCTAGCTCCTCCAAATGTGGACTATGTGCTGGTAGCCTCCTCAACAACTCCCAGAAGGGATCATTTACGGATGGCACTTGTTCTGCACGGAAGGATCGCAAGCCCACGCTCAAGAGGCTGTCGGCGATGGTGGGTGAGATGACCATACCAAAGTTGAGAGACACGTTCCGTGCAGCCACCAATTCGATGACTTGAGGTAGTTCATCGAGTTCTGCTTGCATTTTGGCTGGGTGAGAGCTTTCAATCAGGTCCAAATGTTCAACTTCATGGCCCATGGATCGGATTAGGCGCCAGTAGCCTACACGGGATTCCACAGAGGGAGGTAGAAGTCTGATTCGCTGGAGGCCTCGACAGTTCTGCAAGAGCTTCTCGACCGTGCCCATCTTGGCCGTCACAACCAATTTCGTTTGTGGGCCCGGCCCAGAGTAGTACTCCACCAGTGCGTGGGAGCGGGCTTGCTCGCCCCACTCATCTGGAGGGGAGACGAGAAACTCCAGCTCCTCCAGTCTGGAACAGGTCTCAGCCAGCTCATTGAGAAGCAGGTCATAATCAGTCAAATGTCTAGCATAGAAATGCTGTCGAAGATCTATCCGGAGCGTCCTCAACTCGGGACAAGCTTTCAAGAAAGGCACCAGCGTCTCCTGAAAATAGCTGTTGGGGGTGTTGGGGGTGAACCGAATTTCCACACTGCGGACATTCTCCGATGCCAGTCTTGCAAGGGAAGAATCATGGAATTCGTCCACTAGCATCACATCTTGTACCTGACACACTTCCATCACTGGGGTCACCATGGCTGCCTTCTGTGCGTCCGGGTCCCGTGCCACATTCAAAGCCGTCAGAATTCGACGGCCCGAAGGGCCTTGGGTAGGGCATCCGGTGTCGGGTAGGAGCCCCTCAGCAGCAAAGGCATCCAAGGTGTCCCGGTTGTAGACCTTCCAAGTCGTGGGCAGCACATGGAAGTAGGACTCTTCCGAATGATAGCAATCCTCCAATGTAAAGGCATCAACTTGACTCTGGAAGAAGGAAACCAGCGCGCGGAAAGTTTGCTGCTGCAACTTTCCAAGATTCCACAGCAGTAAGACATCGAGTGCTTTCAAAGACAGCAGGGCCTTGACTTCCTGGTCCGTAGCATTCCTCTCTTGCTGATGTGCTAGTCCCAAATCCAATTCCAAGAATCTCAAGTTCATGGCTGCAAAGTTCCAAGACAATGTCAAGGCCATCATGGGGATCTTTGCCCCTAAGGCCCAGAGCGCTTCTTGGCATTCAAAGCCCAAGCGCAAGCTGCGAAGCATCGGCAGCTCCGCCACACTCCTCGCCACGGAATCTGTGTCGAGGTTTTCGCAACCTGAGACCGGTGGAGTGGAGATGGTGGAACGGCCATGGGTTTCGACGAACTGGTGGGTTTCCACGTCGAAAAAGATCACCATTGAAACCAACAATCCATGGGACTGGAAGATTTGCAAAGAAGTAGGACAGGGTTGTGGTTTTCAGGCGATTTGAAGTTTTAAGATGTTTGAAGGACGTTAAGGGTGGGTAAAAATTCCCTACACGGATGCTTGCGGATGTTTCATCGTTTGACCTCCCAAACCGAGGCCCAGCGACCACCCATGGGTCCCATGGGTTGATCCGGTGATTTGACCGATTGCCATTGATGGTTTTGAATGGTTTTTATAGTATGATGTTTTAATATGTTTTTTGTATTCAAATTATATATATTTAGGTATTTGATTCTATGTGTGTTGTTCTGTTCTGATACGTGTTCATCTGTTGTTCTGTGCGTGCGCTGCTCTATCTTTGATCTGTCACACACACACACACACCTCTACACCTCCAGGCCTCGAAGATCCAACGAGGTCAAAGATTTCAACGACACCAAGGTGTCTTCGAAGCTTGGAGACGTCAGTTGAGTACACCCGCGCAAACAGAGTTCCTGCAAGCAGAAGCAGTTTCGCAAGGAAGTCAGCAACTTCTCTGAAGAGATCTTCCGGCAAAAGGATAGGTCCAGTCGCCTCAATTGTGAGATCCTCAGATGATCAAAGTCTGCATCTTGGAGCCGCATCGCACGGGTCATGACCAAGGTTTGCGCGTAGCGGAACTTGTACACCACTGCTTTCAAAGCATCTGATGGTATTGGCCTAGGCAAAGGAGTGAGTGGAGTCAAAGGGTTGGAATCTTCCAAACCATCAAAATGCGATGGAAAAACGAGCCGATGCAGCCCCAAAGCGTGGTCTTGCCGCAAAAACCGACAGCAAGTCGCCAGGGTAAATACGTCCAGTTGAGGCAGCAAATGACTGCATAGGATGCGTCGCCAAATCAGTGGGGGGACCGAGACAGACTTCACCTTCTCTTCAGCATTCACCCAGGTCGACTGTGCCATCCTGGAAAGCTCTTGTACCGCCTCATCCAAGGACAAAGTGGCCACCAATCGAATGAGCTCCAAGCGCTGTAAATGAGTAATCCGCCCTTTCAGCTCCTCTTCTTTGGCTTCAATGACCAACTCCACGCGCTTCTTCACCTGGGGGCTGAATTTTCGAGCTCAAGGAAAGAAACGAAGGTTCTGGTGTACAGTGTACAGAAAGCTTAGTGGAAACAAACTTGAGAAAGCAAGGTGTTTTTGAGTTTCGATTCCAAGGAATGTTATAATTACATGGTACATCATGGTACCGCCTCCCGGCTAGAAACTAGACTAGAAACAATTCAATAGTGCCCAATGGATCCCAATGGGGGTTCTCAAATCCAAAAAAAATGTAGAGATCTCACCGAACTCTTACAGGGCTCTCAGAAGGCTCTTGCAACACAATCTGATCACCACAAAAGAGAAGGTTCTTTTTCGGCAGCCTTCCGACCTCCTCTGCAAGCTCAGGCGTTCTAGTTTCCGAACGTGCCACAGCCTCGTGGACCACTCGATTGATGGCGGTCTGTGTGTCATCCGTCGTGCTGCGCGTAAGCTTCTTCGGCACCAGCTTCTTCACCATGGGTCGACCCCTCACGGGGCTCTTCTGAAACTCCGACACCTCCTTCCGGGAACCGCTTGGATAGCCCTCCTCCATGGCGCGAGCCGAGGTCGAGCCCCGAGGTCTCCAGAAGAGAACTGCGAATGTCAAACAACCAACATGCAGCAGCTGCACCAAACTGTAAATGGAATCTCATGTGCACTTGAATCAGAATTGCCCCAAACCTGTCAGTAGGAGAAAGTGTAAATGAATATAGTCAAACCCAGTCAGGAGCCCTCAAAGCCTTTCTGCCAGTTCTGCCTAGTGGTTGTCGCTGACAACCAATTAAACAATATGATCAGCCTGTGCAATCTCTGCAGCTTGAACCTCGTCTGAACGCCGGGAAAGCACCACCCACATCCGAATGGCTCCGCGGCTCCGCGCGACACGACAGCTGAAACGTTGACGTCATCACACAGATCTGTGTCTACCCCAATTGGGCCAGGGGGGTCTCCCTATTTGAGGGTGGCTGTCTTCGTCCACGGACCCACCCATTCGCTGTCTTCGCACCACTTGTCGCTGATTCGAAGTGTTTCTCCCCTATTTGAATACACAGTTCAGTTCCGTGGAGATCCCGGTGAATTTCGCTGCATCCTTCAGCATCGCAAGGGCTTGCGTCACTGCTGCTTGAGCTGCCTGCACCGGGCGGAATTCGCGGTAAGACGAAGAATGAACGTTTTCATCTCCCAAGATCTCCATCTATGGCATATGTATGCCTGCATTGGGGTTGTTTCAGGGGTCGATGTAAGCATCTAATAATACATTATATATATATATACACCATTATATGTTTGAACCATTATAGACTATATACTATAAACCGTACATGTAGTGTTTGGGTCTGGCTCTGTGTCCCAAATGCACCAAACAAGGGATCCGGTGGACCCACAGACTGACCCCCTGCAGGCAGAAACAGGCTCTTTTTTCGTTCAAAGACCCATGTCCCAACTTCTCAACTACTTCTTGCAGCGTCTCCAACTGGTGACCCGAACCATCCACTCTTCGTCCACACCCGCGGCCTGTAGAAATCCGGTGTGGCGAAAGGGCGCGGGACGAAGCCGCAAGAGAACGAACGCGACTGGAACGGACTGGAAGAGTGACCTACATTGTTTTCTCCAGGTGAAAATGGGGGTAACTCTTCCAGGTGAACCGAAATTACGATTTCGTGACCTGGTTTCCAAAAGGTCTTGTCCCAATTCCAGGTGCACTCATGGCAAAGACAAATGGATGCTCTGGGATGATCTGGGATGTGTGCCACGCCACGCCATGCGGCTGCGCGTCGTGGAGAGCGCCAAGCTTTTCGGCCGCGGGCCTTGGCATCCGTCACCGTCTCATTGTTCTTGGCCTTCTCTTTCCCACGGATGTCAGTGGCCTCAAGAACTCAACAAACAGGCGCCGTCCTTTTTTTAGGTACTTTTTTAAGGGGGTAGGCCGCTAGAGGTAGTAGCTAGAGGTAGGTAGCTAGTAGAAGAGGTAGCTAGTAGAAGAGGTAGCTACTACCTCAAGTAAGCTACTAGTAAGGACGCAGGATAGCTCGCGCTAATGATTTGGTGTTTAGCTTTTTAGGGAAACTTAAAGTCTGATCCGTGCACTTGGAATTCGAGATGAAATGCTTGCTTGTTACTTGTACGAGCCAAGCATCCAAATGTTTCCAACACCCCTCTGATCACTTTGAAGCGGTCTCTTTCTGGATGTGTCTCTACACCCCCAATCCCCTGCTGGGCACCAGGCGTTTGCCACAGACTGGTCCTTGGCTCAACCATACTCCAACACCGTCCCTGAGAGGAAGCGGCATCCCATAGTCAATCCGAGTCAATCCTGCTTTCTTTTAAAAACATTTAAAAAAAAGATAATATATACAACAACAAACCTGAAAAAAGGTGGTCTTTCCAGAAGACCCAGCCTTCCCACACGTTTTCATTCATCATTACGCGCTTCGCTTGGTTGACGTCGTTCCTAAGGCGTGCCGTCGATCGGCGGCGTGGAACCCAAACGCCACCGAGTCGCAGAGGAAGGTACCGTTGATGTCCCGTGGCGCTGCTACTAGTAGCAAGAGCACCGCTACTAGTAGCCAAGGGCATTACTACACTAACTACGTAATCTATACTATAGGTTTGTGTGTTGTTGTCCCGTTTGGGGATCCGTTGGCGCCCACATCCGAACAGCTTCAGTGGGTGTCGGTGACACGGTTTCAGCTCGGACAAGGAGATGGGCCCTCGTGGGCGGCGCCCCATGGCGGGTTGACCCGCGGTGGACTCGGCTGCGGTCCCAGGGTCCAAGGCCACCAGATCATCCCCAAGAGCTGCCACCTCCTGGAGCGAGCGGTCTTTTCAAACATGAAGGGTATGTGTACCCAGGATCCAGGATGATATATAAAATCAAGTTCAGTTTTTTGGTGCCCTCCCAATGAAAAACAGAAATCGAGGAACATCCGCCCACCATCATGAAGCTCGGGGCTTTACATCAAGTTTCGTCTGGTCTTCCGAAACATGTCCATTCTTGATCCATCTCGACATCTCTCGACCTTTCTTGCTTTGGAGATCCCTTCTTGGAGTCTTGGAGACTGTCTCATCTCAGGTGCCCAAGTCTTATTGTGGCTCATGGCACCACGAGACCCACTGCTTTGTCCCGACCGAGTTCGCGAACTCGGGAGACTTGGACTGCGCTGCTCGGACTGCGCTGCAGATGCGACGACCCCATCGACCGGAGTCGGCAGGACCAAAGGGGTGGCCGTCGACCCGTCTGACGGGCGGGGGGGGCGGGCAGACAGACCGCTCTGTCTGCCCGGAATGTCCGACTTTTCTCCAGCGATGTCTCAGTTGGGCTCTCTGCTGTCCCCGCCAGGTGGGGTTTTGAACCCTTTTCAACTGGTACGTCTTACCAAAAAGGACTTACAGACCAGGCTAAACCAAGTCTACGAAATCCCGTAACTTACAAGTCAGGCTAAACCAAGTCCTTACCCTAAACCCTGCAAAAAAGGGGACATCAACGCTAACGCGAACGACCCACGGACCGTCGCTCGCCTCGGTGAGCTGCTTCACGGAGGCCTCGGCGACGCGACGGTGGAGACAACGAGCCACGGTTGGGCTGCCGGTGGTGTTTCTGGTCCGTGTGGGTCACTGGCTAAGGGACTTCAGTTAGTGCCATCTGGCCATGTGGTCCGATTTCTCTGAGGCACCATGAAAAGCCATACACGGTCCATGGTCCAGCAAGTCTGACCATGACACTGATGAGAGATGGAAAGAGAATGAAAATAATGAAAAGGAACCTGATAGAAAACGCATGACAATGTAATGTCATGAATCTCATGCGGATCTATTCTACCCAATGGGATGTTCTGCAGGATATATATAATGTATTTATTCTGTACGCTTCGGGGGTATCAACCGATCCCAGCCAAGTCGGGGTCTTTGCTTTGCTTTTCTCCCTGTGCCCATATTGGTCGGACATCGGATCAACCGTATTTATTCTCTTCAGTACGAGAATCACAAAACGACTTTGGGGAAGGATATCTAAGGATACTCTTTCCTCACGTGATGTAAGAAATCATTTTGACTTGTGTTCAAAATGACGGACTTGGACGTCATTCATGTTCATGTTCAATTCATGTTCTTCCTTTTCAACAATTGTTCCAGGTCACTGTCACCCATCCGAGGATCTTGCCTCGAGCATATCAATATCAGCTTCCAACTCATCAATGGCGGCCCTCTTATCCTCAGTTGCCAAGCAAGCTATCTGAGTGATTGGTTGATTTATGTTGATTTGCTTCACTGGTCGGACCTGCCGCGCCCGGCTGAAGAAGCTGCTGTTGTCCAAAGGTAGCATGCCAGCAAGCCAGCAAGCCAAGTATACGTGGATGTAAGTAGCTGAGGCCAAAACAGCACGAGTTGCTTTGTTCTTCTTGATCTCTTTCTTGCAATATTCTGACAGGATCGGATGATGCCAAATAGAAAACAGGACAGCAATGACAGTGCCAAAAGGGAATAGAGCTTCTTCCAGTACGACGGCCATGGTCAAAACTGCTTGTCTTTGAAATGATAATCCTTCATCTCAATGATATTCCCACTATGTTTGATGTGATCGCCATTGATCCCAATTCCTGCAACCAACAGCCTCTATATATCATTCATACAGTATTATATAATCAGCTGTTATATGCTGTTATACTAGTTAAATGCCCGCGCATTGTAGCATGTCCAAATGCAGCTAGAACGGCGTGGCCACTTTGGTTGCCTCTCTTCGTGTGCTCATCCGCGGCTACAGCTTCAAGCTTCTTAATCACGCCCTGCCGCCATTGGGCGTGAAGAACCGCATGATGAAAGGAATCTCACCTTTACATAAACATCTTTAAACTATGATGGAATAGTTATTTTGGTATCGTAATCTGCACCTACAGCTGACATCCCTTCTTCATTTACGGGATACCTATCGGTTCACCACGATACCAAACAGAAATCAGGCTCTGCTGTCCAACCGCAATCAAGCGCGACAAAAACCTCCAATTGACGAACATGACCATCATGACCATTCAAAGGTCTTCATTAGGTCTTCCATACTTGCACCAATTGCCTCTTGCCCGATTCAGATTGTCTCTTGGGTGTCCGAGAGATCGAGAGACCCACCAACCACTGAAACATTCGGTCCATGGATCATTCCCCTTGCCAAGGTGTCTTTTTGGGGGGGGGATCCCTCATTTTTACACATATATCGCCATGGCAGAAGGAACCCCAGTCTCACTGGCCAACCCCCCATGGCATGTCCAACCTCAAGCGTGTCGCGGATATTTTCCATGGCTTCCGACACCGCCGTGGGCGCCACCTCGCAGTGGTGAAGAGGGGCAAGGCACGGAGGTGTGGTGGGCCGTGCGTTTGCCGACGGGTCTGAGATGGACTCCACGGAAACCCAACAGAGTATACCGGGTGATGTTCAAAAAGGATTTCCAACCAGTTGACTTCCGTACCCTCGAAAGCCCGTTTCACTTTGCTTTGTTTCATTGAAAGTTGTTTGTTGGATGTTTGGGAGGAATTCGGCCGATGAAAGTCTGCGCTGAGGAAGGATGCCACTGCCTTTCATTCCAAGCTCCCCAGTCTTCCGGAAGCGACCTCTTTCAGAGAGTACACAGCTGGTGAATTTCACCAGCATTTTTTCTCCGAGAACAGAACCGTTGGAGACCGTTGGCATATGTTGGCATCGTATTTGCTCCATCCACCCAGGTGGACCCAGGTGGCCGAAGGCCATCCAGTGGTGTTGGGGTGAATGTCCTGTGCCGTTGGGCAAGACCTGCCTTGCTCCAAGCCGACCCATCCTCAAGTTCAATTGACCCCCTTCTTTCCTGCCTTAGGCTTCCGCCCGCGACCAAGTTGCATCTAATTTAAAAGTTGGGTCAATTGATCCCCCAAACAAATGAAATACCTGGGTGTAGTATGGTACAGTGGTGATCAAAGATGGTCCAACTGTGTTCAAATAAACCCTAAAGAACATCACTGCCGATCGCCCGCGAACAGCGACTTCCTGTGCAAGCGGCCAACTTGGCCAGCACCTTGCTGTGAAGGCGCTCTGCCTGACATTGCAAAGCATGCGCCACCGCAATCTCGTATTGACCCATCTATCTATAATTAAGTATACCGGTATCGGTCAACTGAAAGATGAGCCTGAAAGCCCAACGGCTGTTCTTACAAACACACAAGCTCTCAAAAAACAAGAATAAAGACTGTTTCAAATGAGTTGGATGTCAAAGGCTTCAAGAGATGGACAAATGTGCTGAAACCCCACACAGAAAGACCGAAATCACAATCACAGTCTTGTTCGTCGCAGAGTCGCAGTATGTCTGACCACACGCATGGTTCCCTTTCACCGTTGCCGCCGTGGCCCACAGCAGCTTCACCTCGCTTTGCAGGAAGCCCAGCAGCTTCGCCTCCAGACGCGCTGGGATGGAAAAAAGAAGAAAAAAAAGCCTCACGTCCGCTGATTCAGTGGTCAGGATTTGACTTTCAAGTGATAGGATGATTGGGAAGAAAAGGCTTCTGGATTCATCATGATTCATATCCCATCCCCTCTGCATGATATTCAGGGTAACCATGTGCTCTTCAACAGCGAAAGAAACCCAACGAAGCGTAATGCGGCGTTGCTGCACAACGTGCCTCACCTTCAGGTCCTTATCCACCTTATGAGAGCGCAGTGCGGCCAAGGATGTAGCACGTCCGACCTGGCCCAGATCTACCAAAAAGCACCGAACAGTCGGACGTGTACCGAAGAAATCGGTTCTTTTTTCAAGATCCAAAACATCTGGGGAGTGTATTTCAGAAACAAACGACGTTAAAGACATCGCTCGAGTCCCCCAAAATTGGGGCGTATGGCGTATCGTTTTCGGTTCACTCTTATCGCACGCTGTCATGCGGTGCTTGTCTTGCCGCTGGTGCTTGGCCACACTCTGCCCACGGCGGGGCGGGGCGGAGGTCCGCTGAGACCACCGCGTGGAACCCGCGTGGTTCGATCGGCGGGCGCCGCACCTGGATGAAGCTTTTCGCCAACTGTTTCTTTTCGGTGCCCGAGACGCTGGCAGAGCTCATCACGTCAATGGCCTGGACAAGACCCTACTGGAGGAGAAAGGTGCATCTTGCACACATGGCAGCTACGGATGTGTGAAGCACCGCAATTCATTCCCATGTGGAAAAGATATATAGATATATTATATTGGTTTGTCGGGCGTTTTGCCCTACCACGGTTTGCACGTTTCATATGTGTTATGTATTTCAGCTTGACACACAGGTTGCAAGTTTCATATCTGACAAGCATTGTTTACAAAAAAAATGATCAATTCCTTTCGTCACTTGAACATACTTATCTCATTTCATTTTTATGTTTAATAGTGATGATTCCCTTTCATGTTCCCTTTAACCAGTGAGTCATTCCTTTATGAAAGCGGAGCACAAGCCAGCACTCTGTGGTGGTGGTAGAGGAGGGGGGGGGGGGGTCCCCACCCCTTCAGGGGGGGGGGGGGGGGGGGGGGCATGGACACTCCTGGGAGGTTGAGTTGGGCACACCTTCCCCCCTGCCTTAAGAGTTGTGAGCGCCGCCCCCCCCCTCCCCTCCCCTCACCTCAAGAGTTGTGAGCCCCCCCCCGCTTTCCCCTACCCCTCCCCTTTCCACCACCACAGAGTTCTGAGCACCCCCCCCTCCTCACCTTGCTTCGTGTTTATCCTGTATTATTCACTTGTATTTTCCTTTCAAAATTGTTATAACCCATTGACAGGAATTGTGTGTTATTGTTTATTCACTTGTATTGTCCTCTCAAAATTGTTATAATTCATTACTTTTTTCAATGCTTAGCTCGGTCCATTTTTGGGTTATATATGATTATTTATCGTTCTTGTCTTTTAAAGAGTATCAATCCCTTTTATGTTTTGAAAAAATATAGGTTCTGTATATGTTCCGTTTAACCATGATTAATTCTTTTCACCTTCCTTTGCAAATAAATGAACAGAAGTGTTATGTTTAAAAAAGTAAAAGGAATTGATCATTGTTCAAAGGGAAAATGCAAGGAATTATATCAATATATCATGTTTAAAGGAAATTGAAGGGAATTGTTGATCCTTTATTATTCACATGTATTTTCCTGTCAAAATTACTATACAGTAACCCATTACTATTTAAACATGATTAACTCGGTTCACGCTCCTTTTTTTAAATAAGTATGTACTCTTACTTCCTTTTTAAGAGGATCAATGCCTTTCATGATTCTGACAAATATAGAGTTTCTTTCTATGTTCCCTTTAAACATGATTAAGTTCTTTCATTTTCTTTTGCAAAGTAATGAGCAGAAGTGCTATGCTTTAAAAAGGAAAATGAAAGGAATTGATCATTGTTCAAAGAAAAAATGCAAGGAATTATATCAATTTATATGTTTAAAGAAAACTTGCAGGAAATATTCATCCTTTATCCATTGTGTCCTTTTCATCTTCTATTCCTAGAGTATTGTAATTCTTTGCCTGTCTCATGCGCGAACGCAGTGTTTTTTGCAAAAAGTCCCAAACCGTGGTAGGGCAAAACGCCCGCATAACCATTATTGTATTACATATATTATATATTGTATTAAATATATATATATATATGTATTGTAAACTTTACAAAATTAATGCATAATTCATACAACTACAATTCTCTGTGCATGAGTTCTACAAATCCCCACCTTGTTCACGGTTTCCAGCTCCTGGCCAGAAAACCGCCGGAGAGATTTGGGGCAACAAACTGCCGCTTTCGCCTGGGATCAGACCCCACTTTTCCTGACGAGCCTCGCCGCACTCACGCGAGGCGTCTCCCCACGTCTCAAATCGAAGCAATCCCGAGGCTATTGAGGAACCGGTCGGGCTGCGGCTGGGGCTTTCAAGGGTTTGGGGAACAATAACATGCCAGGCATAGATAAGAACTGGGCTAGAGAAAAGCTCTACGCGTTGTGCCAGTATATCCGGTGTTGTATGAAATCGCACGCAGCTAGATCATGCTCACTCAGTGGTAGTTACCTTCCTCACAACATATCAAAAAGGTTGCATGCTATCCACCTATATATAATACATATATAGTTTTCATATATGGCCGTACTGTGTTTTCCGACGGTGTTCGAATGGTGGCACTGTCCCTCAACTGCATCAGTCTTGTTCTCTGCTTTTCTGGGGTGGAATTAAGCACCTTCATTGCCAGTGCTTCGAACATGGTAGTGCCGTGTGTTTACAAGGGAGCTAGTTTGCAATGTCATGGCTCAGGGTCCATGTTTCACCGTGTTTAACCCTGTTTTACCCACACCTGCTGGTCAACTTAGTCCTTGTCCTGTTGGGTGACAAGTATATAGATGACTCTAGTGCTGGTCCTACTCCCTGGCATCCTCGGAAGCGGCAGCGGCAGCGGCCAACAAAAACCGTTCCGGAGACCTTTGACCGCTCGCTTTTCCACTGCCCCACCCAACCCACTTCCCCAACGGATCCCACCCGATCCCCCGAAGACAGCTTCGCTCCTCCACGCGGAGCTTCTGGCGCGCTTCGAAGTCGGCGGCCTCGCGTCGACGCGTCGACGACGTCCGACGTCCGACCGAGCAGGGCCCAAGGGCCCAAGGGTGGCACCCTGGCCAATGGTGGCCAAGGATAGCGCCCAGAATGGCCAAACATGCAAGGAAAGACGCCGGAAAATCCGTGATTGGTCTCTTGCGGCAAAACTGGGTCTCTCATCAGTGTTCAATGGCTGTAGGTCGAAACCAGGATACCTTAGTTGACCTACAGTACCTGGAAGGTCAAGCTACATGGTGGACCACAGCTCCAGGTTTTGACCCATCCCCCAATGATTTCAATGTTTCTATATACATCTATATACCTCTTCGTGAAGTCGCGTCAGGCGCTAGGAGTAGCTGTCACATCAGGTCTTTTCTAGCACATGGGGTCTTGTCTTGACCGCTGTTTGTCCTGATCTGGTCGCACCAACAGCTACAGCTCGCCTTCTGGTCGCATGTCGCCGTTGTCTCCTTCAAGTAGTCCCTGGGTGCAAGGCGCTGCAACACCAATCAATCTCGAAGAGAACATCTGTACAGGTTCAATCAGCAAGCAACAATGACAATGACTCCACTCACCCCCAATGAAAAGGAGTTACACATGTACTGTATATATATATATTGAATATACATGAATATACCATAATATGCCAATTATATACTATATACCTAGAACTGGTAGGAGATGACCACGTTTTCGCTCCAAAACCAAGGTGACTCAGGCTCTAGGTGTGTGCGTATTTATATATATATATATATCTGTGATTTCATATGTATACAAAGAGCTCCAAGTGCCAAAGCATCACCAACTCGCTACAGCTCTCGGGATACAGCTCTGATGTTCACCACTGGGTGCGTGACTCATCCGAAGCCTTGGTGGTCTTGGTGGTCTCCAAGTTCTCTTGCAGCTTCGCCTCACGAGATCGATGCGGAGGACGCAGCCGTCTGAAGGACCGTGATTCATTCACCATCATCGACAGTTCAAAGAACAACACCATCTGTTCAAAAATGAAAGAGATGTCTAAGAACTCTATGTAATATATGATATAATGTGCATGTCAGCCTTTTGCTGGAGCTTCTTGCTCTTCAAGGCCGCCTTCTTGTCTGTGGCCTTCCGCATGTCAGTGGCGGTGTCTCAAAAAAGAGCCACAGATCAGATGACGAGCATAGCAAACACACAAAGTGACCAGAAATGACGATCAATCGTATGACCATCTGTTACTGTACCATCAATGAGGTGTTTGACAGGACCAGGTCCTCACTGTTTACGTTCTCTTACAAGAAGGTGTTTTAATGTTTGTTGTCTTGAGCAGAAAACTACTCCGCGCTGTGCTGGTTACAGTAAGTCTACGGTTTTAAAGGACCTTAGATCAGAGGTCCTGGCCCAACTAACTCAATTTGCCAAACAATTCATGAACCAGTGCTTCTTTGACAAATCAAACAATGAAATGTACATGGATTGCTCTTGCGTGGTTGTTCACTTTGGATGTCCTTTCGGCAAAGAAGTACGGCACACCCACACATAATCACATACATCGTGTATAGATCTATAGATATCACAAGTATCAATATGTATATATATATATATATGTATTTATACATATATATATATATACATGTAATATATATACAAAAAACAACACAAAGATGGCCCAGAGACAGGCACACATCGCCTTCTGTGCAGCTTCCTGTTCATCCTTCAAGCCTCGCCAACGCAGAAGTGAACTACTGGTGACGGCAAACCGAGTCGTTTTTGGAGCAATCGGATTCAACATCGAAATCAGACGACCGTTGAAAAAAAGAAGTCCTCCTTCGTGAAAGAAACGTCTGACGATGCGTCACGTTTGAAGGCTGCCCAAGTTCGCCGAGTTCGTCCAGTTCAACTGGACAGCGTCATGTGACCGGGCGGTGGAATCCACCGGGGCCCGAACCCGCCAGCGTTTGCTCCGCGGCCTGGGTGGAGAAAAAGAGGAAGGCGGTGAAACCGCGGTGAAACCCTCGGCTAAACCGAAAAGCATAGGAAAGAGCCTTCTAAAGAAGACGCTTGATTCATCAAACAAAACATATGAAGAGGTCTTTACAATCCAAATGACATGAGCTCTTCTCAAATCGGCACTCTACTGCAAGGAAGGTCGGCCTTCTACTGCCTTCCTTGCGCAGAGCTCTTGAAAGAGCCACACACTAGCAGGACACACTCCACCGATTGATACACACCCTTTCGTGGTCTTCTGCCATGTTGTTTTCCGAGAACCGTTCCATGGTCAACAGTCTCTATATACCCTCCCTGAAACGAAGCAGAATTCGTAGAGGAAAAAGAGGAAAACCGTCTGCCATGTATGGCCATGTATGGCCATGTTCCATTTCCATGTTTGTTGGATGCAGGGTATTCTATGGGCCATAGGTATCCATAGGTCCAAACCGCGGGACTGTGACAGTCCCCCGAACCCACCTGGAACCCATGGACCCCGGGTCCACAGAGGGAAGCGGGGAGGTCCCCGGTGGCGCCCAGAAAGAGCCCCGGCACCACTCACGGCAAGGCGCCGCTTTCTTCTCGAACTCCAACTTCTCCAGTTCAGCCTGCCGAGTGACCGACTCGCCGAGTGCTGTGAGAGAGGCGAGATAGGCGAGTCAAAAATAAACCACCCAAAGGGCATTCCAAAATGGTGAAGCCTCCAATGAGCAGGCGATGCTTACATGATGGCCTTATATGCTAATCTATCCTGGCTCAGTAGGGGGGCCGTTAGGTACGGCCTGGTTTGTTTCAGTCTGGGAGGACTTTTGACACAATCTTGCAAAGTGGTGAGTTTTAAAAATGCATAACATTAATCAGGAGGTTGCTTGAAGCAGGCCGAGTTCTGAATTGGGCACCTTGAGTTCCTTTCAAAACACATACTAGAGAGGCATTTGAGTTACGACCTTTGAGTTAGGATGTCAAGAAAAGCACTCAGATGTCAACCACCCTATAATCAAATGCTGCAAGCACAGGACCAACACAAGCAGCGTCTCAAACATGTTCAAGCATGACAACGTCTCTCAAGCAACGTCTGTCGTTTGTCCTTAATGTGGATGCCTTCTGAGATCTGGATGCCTTCTGTCGTTTGATCAATGGGGGGGAGGACCTGCTTCTCACCCCAGACTTTATTGCTGCCACAAAGCAGTGAGGTGTTAATCACCCCGCTCCAGATCAATATTTCCAGGGACCTCGACGGGCTATAAGATGCTATAAGGGTACTCCTCTGGATATTCACCAAACTTTGAACAATTTATCCAAACAAACTAATGAATATCTCAGTGAGGGACCCAGATGTTTACCTAACGGCGGGTGGGTAGATACATGTTCTTGGTAAGATCTCCAACGCATGAGAGCAGTTTCATCATCTCTCAAATGACTGGCCGTCTCATTCGCACGTTGGGTCTGCGGAATGGTTCTTTCACCAGGTAGGCTACGGTAGGCCGTCTCATCCTCCCAAATATCTCCAGCCAAAAGGACTGGAGAACAGCATGTCGCCCCTCCGTTCGCCGCTGTTCAGGGGACTTCGTGGCTCTTGAGCCGCTCCCATCTAGGTGACATCGTCAAATCATATGGGTATACTACTAGTAACAAGAAGCTACTAGGTTGGAGGCCATCGCTATTAGGTTGGAGGCCATTAAATTAGGGTATACTACGCACTAGGGATCCACCATACCTCCTCAGAAGGCACGACTGGACGTCTTCCTGCGAAAGCCCTCGGAACAGGAGTCGTGCAATGCGCACCAGGGACAGCAACGCAACAGCGCAAACACCAGGCATTTCTCCGCTATCTCCGATCTCGTTCACCAGTGAGTCTCAGGCCTTCTCAAGGACGAACTTGTCTTTAAACTCCGACAGCATGGTGATCAAACCTGTCTGCCAATGATGTAAACAGCGACAAAAGGTTGAAACATCTCAAACGGCACCAAGAGTTGAGTCTTGATCACTCACTGAATGTTTCGCAACAACACTCGACAAACTAGATGTTTCGATGACTTTGGAAGGTGTAACAGACTTCCAAAAGGCACCTCTATTTGTTCACCCCAAACGCATCCCTCAAACTGCCAAGCCTTGCGACTGGAACTCATATCCATCCACCTGTGGGATGTCTCAAGCATGAGTTCGGCACGGGGCATCGTTTCAAAAAGCATCAAAAGCACCAGCATCTCTTCGTCTAGAGCCGAGCTCACTTCGTCTACAGCACCGAAAACGAGGCGCACGGCTGTGGTACTCAAGGTCAACTCTGGAAAAGAAATAGATATTGGAAACATTGTAACTTGCAACATGGTAACACACTAATGCCAGTACCATCCAGTACCCCCCAAACCCATGGAGTGTTTGCCGCTGTTTGTCTGTTTGGTGTACGTCTGTCATGCTGCCTCAGGCTTCCTCGAGATGAAAGCAGCGATCGCTTCCTTCACCTGAAGAGACACCGCGCCAGTCCAGTCCAGGTCCACGGCGGGTCCCCGCGCGCGTCGAAGTGAAGCTCAACACTCGACTCTACGGTGCCAGAAATCCACCACCTACGACCTGAAGAGATCCTCCCATCCTTTTTGTTAGCTATATATATAGCTAGAGGCTATTACCTAGCTATGCTATCCCGCAAGAAGAATAGAAAGTTCTTTTTGCTGTCACAAAGAGAACCAAACCAATTCTTCGTCTCCTCCGCCCCACCGGGAAAACGAAAAATAAATAACATATAAATAAAAAAACGCACACACACACACACACAAACACTACCCGGAATCCGGTCTTGAAACACCCAAAAAACCATCCGAAAACCCGATGTCTTCGTCCCGTCCGCGGAGCGGCGGAGTCCGCGGCGCGGAGCGCCTCCCGGTGACAGCCCGAGACGGGCCTCGGAGCTTGGTGAAGGGGTTGAAGCGAAACGGAAAAGAATGATGTCAAGAACATCTCTCAAGAACATTAGGATGTGGCTAGATTTTAAAAAATCTCAGGATTGAATTCTGGAAGTAGAAGTGAGGGGATGTTAAAGCTTGGGGTACTTCGGTACCTTAGGGTTGTTATAGCATGTTATAACCTGTTGAAACCTTTTGTGATTGATCTTGTTTAACCGATTTAACCTCTAGAGGCTGTCCATAAGAAAATCCCTTCTATACCGGAGGGTCCTCAGACTCCGTCTGAACATGATGGGTTAGTGGAACGGAAGGATGGTGCGTGCGCTCTGTGCTGTTGATCGTTTGGCATTGCTTTGGAATGTTAGTCATGTTTTTGGTTTTGGCAACAGCTAGGTTGCCCCTTTTTTGTTTTATGTTTTCAGGAAGGCGAGTAGTGGGCGAGGGGTCATGGGCTTGGCTTTTTGTTCCGCACTTGGTTCCGCCTGTGGTTCGTTCAGGTGTGTGTTTTGCTTTTGTTGACTTGGCTTGAAAAGCTGGAAGGGGCTGGGGCATGAAAACAGCCTCCCCCCCGAGAGCAAACTGAGTGCCAAGCCAAAAAAGAAGTGATCAACACCTAGCTCTCCAAATCCCAAATCCACGAGAATCCAAAAGCAAGCCGTCAAACAACCACCATGAACAACCCAACAAGCACCCAACCATGCCGGCCACAGAAGCCACCAAAGCATAGCGCCCGCCCAGCGAAGCACTGCAGAGCACAAGGACCAGGTGTGGACTTCTTCTGCATGGCCAGGCGCCTTTTTGGGCCCCACCAGGTGCCCAGGTTCCCAAGAAGCCTTCGAACAGCGAAGAATCCCACAGAAGCAACAGGTAAGCAAAAAAAAACATGGCCCTCCGCCCTCCGCTTGTTGCTACTATAAGTGCTTGGAATTCCGAGGCGTCGATCGGTTTCTTTTTCCCTTTGAAGGGGCCGCACGACATGGTGGCAGCTGCCAGGCCTGTACATGGAGGCTAGGTGTTTGAGCCGGAGCCAAAATGGTGTAACGGTCCGGAAGTCGGAAGTAAAGGCCAATGACGTTGAAACTCATGTTGAGTCCGTCAATAAACAAGCGTTAAAAAAAAATAATAATAAAATATAAAAATATATATATATATATATGCATTTTGCGACCTAAGACACGTCTCACTTAGCATGGCGGAAGAGCCGATCCACGCACTGTGGACCCTGACCGCTGACCCTGACAACTCCCGTCGGATCTGACGATATACTGCTAACTCCTCGCCCACGACGGTGCTCGTCATGTCGTCATGGTCCCCTTTCACAATCGATGGATTCGTGCATCATGACGACAACCCAATGACATGTTCCTCCTTTCTAAAGATTTTTAGAATGGCAGAGTGGCGAGTGACAACTGTGGGTTCCCGGACATGTCCAGAAGTGCCTCCTTCTTGCTTCCCGCCTTTGTCACAAAGTGATGATTTGCCCAGCTCGGAGTTTGGATTAGGTTGTGATTGAAAGGTCTTGGGGCATGATCTCGATCTGCACGTCCCTATGAGTCCCTATCCGTGCTTTATGCGGCGTCTTCTGCAAAGCGCTGGGGCGTGGTTCAACCAGGCTAGAAGCTTGGGGCCTATGGCGGCCTATGGGTCTCCAAAGCTTGGGGCCACCCCGTCATGTGTCTGGGGATGTCCAAACCATTTCAACCCAATTCATACGCTGCCGCCCTCGGCGCCACCGTGTGCAGCTTCCTGGCGGTCGCCCGCCCTGCGTGAAGAACTCGGACGGTGCGTTCCCCAGCATCTGACCCTGCCTGCTCTCGGTCATACGCCTGGCAGGTGGGAAAAGAATACAAAGCCAAGCTGCTAAGCCAGAGGAAGAAGCGGCTCAACCTGTCTACTTGAAGAAGCTGGGGTTAACCTGAAAAATTCCAGCGTCATCTCTAAGGATGGACATATCCAGGCAAAGCTGCATCGTGCGTCACGCATCACCTCCCCGTTCCACCCAGGGTGGCCTAAATCCACAAAAAACAGACTTGTGCGCTTCGCCAAACTCCACACAGTCTGGTTCTCACAATGGGATCTGTTCTCCACCTGCCCGGTCTCACCGACCTGCTTTTGCAAGGTACTCAAAGCTCTTCCCAGGGCGTCAATGGACTCTTCATAATCCTGCGCGCTTGGTGGAACGGTCGATGGTGAAGAACATCCACGGCTTCAGAAGCCTTCCCACTATCAATCACTATCCAGTATGCCTGTACGCTTGAAACTGAGTCTTGTCCACTTGGACTGGCATCAGTGTTATGGATGCTTTTTGTTCAGCCGCGCCTTTTGTTCAGCTTTGAAGTCGGCATTCTCCTTGCTGCGGACCTATGCGCAAGTGTTCTGCAATCCAGCATCGCACACATCTGCACCACATGTCCTCATGTGCCAGAATCCATTCTCCCGCAGTTTCTATCAACATGGTTGACACATATCTTAATATATCTTAATATCCTACAACAACCAGCCTTATAAAAGAATCTAGCATTGCCATAGGCCAGATTTCCGCCAAAGCTTTCCCTGCCCCTGCCACCTGTTCTCCAATGCAAAACAGAGAAGTTGCAGGCAGACCTTCGTGGGGATAGAAACAAAGGTTGTGATTCGACGGTCGGAGACGTCCATCCGCCTCGGCTCGACACCGAGTAGAAGCAGTCCCACGCGGTCGGCTACCCATTTGTGGCCTGCGTCATGTTGTCCTGCTCAAGGACCAATCTCTCGATCTCCTCTTGATGCCCTGTCAGGTGCTGAGCCACACAGAAGTACCAAGTACCACTGGGATGGCGGCCATGGTCGGAAGCATCAATGATGCATAGGCATAGGACATCATAGGACACATGGCTTGGATGCTAGCTGGAAGAAACACCCAACAAGTGAAAAACATGTCACTGGAATTCAACCAAAAACGTACAAGACCCAAACCTGCCGATGTGTTTGTTCCATCTATTTCTTCTGCCTTTCGCCCCCAACCCGGTGGCGTCCCTCCGCCCTCACCGGTCGCTCCCTCGGTCCCTGGGACCTGTGATTTCAGCCGTGAGCCGTTCGATCGTCGCGGTGCTCTTCGCCACATCCGCCTTGATGCGTCGGCAAAAAGCGAGGTCGGGCTGAGTTATGCTGTCATTTCCTGAGTTATGCTGTCACCTTATAGGACCCTACTGGGGTACATATTGGGATAGTCTAGAGTCTACAGGGTTCTTCAACCTCTGTTGGCTGTTTTAAGATTCTGAATCCGAGCGTTCGTTTCTGAACCTAAATCTGTTGGTCATGACTCACCTTGATGGATTCGATGGCATCCGCGGTCTGGGCAATGACCTGGGTCTTTTTCTCCTGAAGACGGACGGACACCGCGGACACCGGTGTTCTCCGAGCATGTTTCGGTTCGACCGTTCGACCTTTAAAAGTCTCCTTGGTCAGGGTGCACCACTGAGAGTAGGTGGCGAACTGGATCTGCAGAGTGCAAAGAGCTTTCAACCACTGGAGCACGTATTGGAGTTGGATGTAGGCACTTATATAGGCTTCATCTGTGGATCTGACTCTAAAAAGACTTCAAAAGTGCTCCCAAGTCTTGTCACTCTTGTTCCAGTGTTCCCATACACAACGAACTGGCTGGCACAAATTCTGACTGCTTCCCTACTTACCGTACGGTTAACCAGAGCCTCTGACCGCGACCCAGGTTGGGCGCAGAGAACGCGACTGGATTGATCACTGAGACGTTCGGAACCCTTCTGGTCTCTAAATGGTGGCATGGAGACCCAGGTATACTAGCCTGCTTTAAAAGGGTTCAGTAGCATTCATGAAGGGAGTGGTAGCCTCATTGTCCAGTATAGGCTCATTGTCAATAGCATGTGCACTCAGCACTGATGCAAAGTTTGCCAACTGCACACTCTCTGGGCACCTTCTCCTCCTGCATGTCTTTCTCGCCTTGAGCTACCATGTTCTGGCTGGCTGTGCTTCCCTCCATAGAATAACAGGGAAATCATGGCTGGTACACTGGTAGATCCAGTTGCTTCACAATGACCAGGGCCAATCGATCACGACCTCCACCATATTCGAACGACATGCACTTCTGAAGACCAAGCACGTGGTTTGGCTCAAACAACTTTTGCCGGATCCACATGAGTTGGACGACCTTCCCTACAGGCGTTGTCTCACCAGAGTAGTCCATCTGGTAAGAGATCCCCAGCCTTAGCCATCATGGATGATGCATGCTGTGGAGGAAAAAGAACATCACATTTTTCATAGGCATGCAAATGTATTGGAGTGTATATAATATATATATATAGTTGCAGTTTATAATCAGCATAGGTGTATTGGAATGTATATACCTTAAAGTGGGGAGACCCTAGTTCAGGCAAAGAAGGGATGACCAGGTCGTTCCCAGGTCGACCCCGTTTTCTACCCGTGGCCCCATCTAAGTGCCACACGCCACAGAGATGGCCTCGACTCATTGACTTCATGCAGCGCGCATGAACGGCCACGCGCGCCGTCCGGACCCATCGGGACCGGACAGGTCAGGCGTGGAGCTCCCAAACACCATGGAACCGGATGGTTTCCTTCGATCCGAATGTCCGCAATGGAATCCCATGAATCCGCAAAACGAAAAAGTGAAGTGCACCATCGTCGCGTCCTCATGGTCACGTTTTTGTGACTTGGGTCAGTCTCGACTTCTGCTCCTCAAAAGCTGAGTCGCCCACCGAAGAACAAAGCACTACATTGAGGCCGAAGAGCTTCATTTTTGTTCGGACACCTGTCGGAAGTAACGGAGGTGTTCAAAACAAACGGATGTGTTTCTTGCTGTCTTTCTGGCCCGCCCTTACCTAATTATATAAGTAGGCGCCTACTTAATTAAGTAAGGGAGAAGTAAACTACTTAAGCTACTACCTACTGGATGCAGGATAGCTTATGCATTAATCATTTGGTTCCTAGACTTTGGGAGAAATTAATGTTACAGTATGGTTTCTATCTTGAGCGTCCGGTCGTCCGGGTCTGGGTTCAGGGAGTTGAGCCGCCATGGGTGGGTACGGGTCCGTGGTGGATGGACCCGGAAAAGGCCATCGAGTCCACTTGGGATTTCTCATCGAGACTGGGAGTCGAAGTAGCCGGCCCAAATCCAAGCGTGCATGGATGACCCTCCTCTAATACACACGTTGTTTCAATTGATTTCTAGCAAACCTAAAGTTCCCCACTCTGCAAAGTGGACCCAGCGCGCCTCAAGAAAGATGTCACACCCGAGCACCCGGGTGATGGGGAGATTTCAATCTCCCCCCCTCGTGAGCCAGGTAGCAAGGTGGGAGAAGAATCAATGTGATGTTTCATCAAACTGATCAATGAGACTTGTCACCTGCAGATGCTCTTACAAAAGTGGCTCGTGCATCGAAGTATGTTTTGCGTTTGAACCATTGGCACTCCAGCACGTCGATTGAAACTGTCAAAACCACGTGGCCTCTTCTGGTGAGAGGACGTCGCAGAATCAGTTCATTCTAGCGATTGAGCATCCCGAAGTACTACAGTAGGACGTCGAGTGAAGAAACCCATAGAAATCACGAGAAATCGAGTGACATCTATTGTATGTATCTGAAACCTCCATAGGCTAGTCACTCCTGTCCAGTACTAGTACTTCAGAATTCATGCACTATCAACATGGCCAAGTTCTGAAAATCAATCTGTTAAGTGCCCACTGTCGGGCTGGTCTCTTCAAGGAAAGAGCTGCGGGTCCAAACGGGTAAAGCAAGCCAGAAAGAAACAAATTCAAAAGAGTCTTTCGAGCAGTTTTGACCCACATGCTGACATGTCTGCCTGACATGCAGAGACCCAACCTCTCTTGCTAGTGTTCCACAATTTAAACTTGGAACATTGAAACACATTTCAGCAGCCTTCACTGCAAGATGGTCTGCGGCTGGTACGGCTGGAAAAAATCTGGCAAGCCTCGAGTCGGCATGACCGGTCGCCGACCACTCCCTGCTCGCCCTCGCCCCTGGGTTCGTTGAACGTGGGGAATGTGATGTGGTGGAAAAGAACTTCAGAAGACAGGCAGCCGGAACACAAAACGCCAGGCACCCTGTCCTCTTAGAAGAAGAATTCCTTCATCATGTGGTGCAGCGATTCATGGATATGATCATGGATAGGATGAACAAAAGGAGAACTTCGGCATGGCGCTGCATGAACAGCGGTCAAACCTTGAATCTGCAGAATTGAAGGGGCACTTGGGAATATCTGCTCACCCTGGGGAGTTTCGGAGAATCCTAACCAGGTACAGTTTTCCAGCCATGAGATGCTATCAAAGGTCACAAGATTCTTACAATCCGAAATAAAGCATCTCTCGTCCCGGCAAGGAGTCCAATGTAGACAAGTCACGCCGCGCCATGCCAGTTCACTTGCTGGCCCCACCACGGAGCCATCAGAAAGGAAAATGAAAAAAACAAATGAAACAACGTACGTTTTGCTCTTGAGCAAAAAAACAGCTATAAATGGTCGTCATGGACATCAAAACGCAGTTTTCTGCGCACCAGTTGGCCGCAACAGGAAAAGCACCCGTTGGCCGATAATGTTCACAACACCACACAGTCTGACCAGTCTTTTTGTGCATTTTGAGGCGATAGGTCGTTGCACCTAGCACATCCCACACTTGACAAAACATTTCAGCACATGTGACTCTGCTATTTGGGGTTTAGGTGATCCTCGTAGCTTCAAAGGAACTTGAACTTGGAAGTGAGGAAGCTACGAAGATCACCCAGCTGACAACCCCAGAGTTGAAACTTCATGGTCAAATGGGAATGTTGGCTTTGAACAGTCCCCTCTAGACTCTGGACGCATGGAAGCCCTATACGCCCTAGACAGGCTTGGCCTGTGGAAGAAACGGTGTCATGGAGGCAGGGTGATGATGTGATGCACTTGATGCCATTCATGATTGTATGAATTATACAGTATATGCAGTATGCTATGCAGTATGCAGCAAAAGAGGAGCCAAACCACACAACTGCCTCATGCTTTCATCATCTTAGGCCGCAGCCAAATCACGCAAACCGAGACCCACCCGTTGCACCCTCGGCGGGTGATATCTTTCTTTCATTAAGATGTCGCGCTTGGCTTCATCCGTTTGCCGGCTCTCATCACCAGAAGTCCACGAACGGACCTCGCGGGTGGGTCAAGCTCAGGGGTGGAAGAAACACGCATTCTTGGAGAAGTCTCTGGCTTTCAATGTCTCGACCCCGTCCGTTTCAATGGACATCTCATTCTGGCTCACCCGGTGAGGAATCCAAGCAACGGCTCAGCTCCGTGCGACGACACCCTTCCATGGGGCAACTGCCTGGTGTCGAAAAACACTGGTGTCTTTTCAGGATGCTTTAATAGGGATATGTTCATGTTTTAATAAATATAATATAATGTATAATTATATAGATATGTTAATATACAGTAATATAATGTAATATATAGTTCTACATTAGTTACTGTACATACTCTTAATGTTCCGTTGAACTTAAACATGTGTCTCGTTCATGGGCATAGATCCTCCGTTCGGTTTCTACGTCTTCTCACCTCACACGCACCCAAAGGTTTAAAGGGATCAAACATGGATGCCGTGCCATATGTTCATATAGGTTTGATATGCTTCGATCATCGATCATCGATCATCCATCGTCATCATCATCATCATCATCATCATCATCATCATCATCATCATCATCATCA